TTTGATGAAAAAATTTTATCTTAATACATACATGGCTTTTATTTCTGGATATTAATTATTGAAATCCCAGTGGAGCCCCTTTAACTGCTTCTAAAGCATATTTCATTTTTACTAATTGAAAAAACACATACCTCATTTATAGATCTTCATCTTATTTCAGCAGCTGTGGCTGATTCTTGCTTTCTCTCTTCTTCAGATTGGCAATTGCTTTTTAAATTATAAAACAAGTGAATGCATGTTCATAAAATGTTTTTTCAATTATAAAAAAGTATAAAACAAAGCATTTCTCCACAGTACTCACCAGAGCTAACCTCTATTAAATTTGTTATCTCGCCAGACTTTACGCATGTGTAAGTTTATGTGTATGTGTAGTTTTTAAGGTAAATAGAATCATATTAATCATATTCTCTTATAATGGGAACAGTTTTTGACAGCAGTACATACTTGTAGGGGGGTAGAGTGTATAATATTCCATCATATACATGCACCAAAAGATGTTTAAACATTTAAAATTGTTTCCAGGTTTTTGCTTTTATCCACAGTGTTGCAATTCTAAGACATATTTAATTGTTCTTATCTGCTTAGTTTATTATGCTATATATCTTGCAGAGGAATTGCTGGTCAGAGGGTGTACACATTATTAATTGCGATGTTTTTGCAGAGGCTAGGGATCTACTTGCCACTTAGGCCGTGGAGGGCAGTTGAAAGAATATTTGTTGATGTGAAAAGAGGTTTTAAAATGCATGCAATTGTTTTTAAAACACTTTTTTAAAATTATGTACTCTAACACACAGTTCCATTACTCCTCTAATTGTTCTGTCAGACCACCCTCCAGATGGGTTCTCCAGTGCTCCCTCCACTGACAGAATGTGTTACCTCCTTGAGTGCAAGGGACAGTGTCACTTGCACTGAGTATCCGTAGTGCTTAGCATTAGTATTTGACGTACATGTAGTAGGTGCCTAGTAAACATTTAAAAAATATACCCCGTTCGCCACGTCTTTACCAACTCAGGCATTATCAAACTTTTTAATCTTTATCAATCTGGAAGATGAAAAGGTTTCTTTTTAAGTTTTTTTTTTTTCATTATTAAAATTAAGCATCTTTTCATGTGATTACTGACATTTACATTTCTTCATGTACTCAGCTTATTTTTATATTGACTTATAAGTGGGAAGTTAAATAAATAAAATGTTTTTAAGGATAATGACCTGTGTGTCGCAAATTTGTTTACCGACTCTGATATTTGTCTTTTAAGTGTATTGGGGCTTATGCTACTTACCAAATATTTACTTTTAGGTAGTCAAATCTATCGCTCTGGTTTTACTTAAGATTTCTAAATTCTGTAACATGCTTAGAAGGGCCTTCCTCATCCCCAAATCATTAAAAAAAAAAAATTTACTTCTAATTACTTCTAAAAATTACTTCTAAATTTTCTTCTAATACTTTTATGAGTTTTATTTTCATACTTAAATAGTTGGTCTTTCTGGAATTATTTTGTACAGATGAGAAATTGAAATCTAGGTTTCTTTTATCTAAAGGGAAAATTTTTTGTCTCAATGACATTTTTAAGTAATCCATTCTTTCCCCACTGATTTGAAATGCTACCTTTATGATACATAGAATTTTCATATATAAATGAATTTCTAGACTTTAATTTCTGTTTTGTCAGTTTCTTTATCTGCTTCTTAGCCGGTATCACATTATTTCAATTACTCTCGCTATGTAATGATTTTGAAATCTGGTAGCCTAAAGTTCCCTCTTCCTCATTATTCCTTCTCTAAAAATGTTCTTGGCGGTTCTCTGCCTTTACTCTTCCAGATACACTTCAGAATCAATTTGTCAAATTTATTAAGTTCTCTCTAAATTCTTTTGGTATTAAGTGGCAGGACAGATCTGGGTTCAATGTTTCTTTTTTTAATTTTTGACCAAAGTTTTATATTCCTAATTTTCCTTTAGTGTTAGGTTTAAAATTAGGATCAACCTGTTCCCTAATCTTAATTATCTTTTTGTGTTTGCTTCACTGATTTTTTGGGGGGTTTTTTGGCGAGTTTTTTACTTTTGCTCTAACACAGTGTATCAGAGAAGATCTCTCATGTTAAGCATTCAGCAGCATTAAGGTCATTTGTAAAAACCACCGGAGAGCCAGACTTTTTCAGGGCTATGCTCTTCTTCACATGAGTCTGTGGTGTGTTCCTCTCCCGCCGGGGACTGTGTTTATATCACATGTCTGTCAACTACATGGCTGTTTCTCCCCCTAAAATCATAGATGATTATTCTCCAGTTAGGTGGATTCTTAAGTAGATGAATAACCATATTGGGGAGTTTTGATAATAACCTTAATCTTTAGCAATTGTTAAATTATGCATGTCATATTAAAAAAATCAGTTGTACAGTTACAGATTAAGAAAACTTTCATAAGAATGTTCAGTCATGTTTCGAAAATAGTAAACAAAGGACCTGGTATTTAAATTTATTATGATACCTGTAACAAAGTGAGAAGAGATAGTTTAGGATGCATTACAGGAAATACGGCGTGCAGATTAGGAAAGGTAATCTATGCTAATCAGTCTGTTTGTATAGTTTTGTGCCAGGGACTAAACCAGATACTAGGCTACAAAGCTGAGAGGCATAGCCCACTTATAGTAGAATTACAAGTAAATGATAATAGGTTTTATGGAAAACAGAAGAAGGGCATCCAGGACCTAAACCATAGAAGCGGGGGACAGCTTTTAAGGAGAAGGTGACACATAAAGCACAGGCTTTAGAGGTGGAGCCATGGCCCTCACTAGCTATGGGAACTTGTACAGATCACTTAACCTCACTCTATCTCAATTTCTTCATGTGTAAAATGGAATCAATAGTCATATATTTCACGCTGTTGTCCTTTAAGCAGAAAATGGTATGAAATCCCATTTTGAAATACTAGAAGGTAGGGAGAGAGACTGTTGTCCCAGCAGAGAGACTTCTCAGCAGAAGGAAAGGTGTATACACCAAAGCCAGGGTGGTTGAACTGGGGCCTTTCTGGAATTGGACAGCATTTCATGTGATTGGAGTGCAGAGTACATGTGGAGTCAGAAGCTGAAGATGAAGCTGGGTAGGGAGGCAGCGAGCAGTGAGATCTCCAAGCAGGAGCTTTGTGCCATGTTGAGGAGTCTGAACGGCGTTTAGTAAGTGTTGTGAAGTCTTTGAAGGCCTTAAGTAGGGGAGTGTCCAGAAGTTTTGCCAGTTGAAAGACTGGTTTGTTATAGATGCGTGCAGGGGCTGGGAGAGCTATTTGAAGTAGAAAGGATATCCAGTTAGATCAGTGGTGCTCAGCCCTGGCTGCACGTTGGAACCATCTGGAGAACTTTTAACAGTCCAATGCCCAGGTTGACACCACACCAATTATATCAGCAGCTCAGGGGGTAGGACTCAGGTACAGGTATTTTTTATTGCTTTTCAGATAATTCTGAAAATAATCTGAACAGCCAGGGTTGTAAAACATGGTAACTACATTCAAACCTGATTTGATAAAGTTCCCAGTTAAAGAAGTGCCAATGGCATAAAGGAACCAGGGTAAGGAGATAAGTGGGCTATGGTGGTCAGTCGAATGAGAAGGGGATTGATGACTTCTGGATTGGGTCGCTGGGTGGACGATGATCATATACCAAGGCTCAATTGTATACCAAGACTGAGAACATGAAAAAGAAGCAGATTTGGGTTTTAGGCCTCATTGAGCTTTGGAAGAGCTAAGGGAAAGGCTATCTGAGGAGGGAGACTGAGATGAAGGTGTCTTTCTAGTCCTGCTCTGAAATGTTTTTTTCCCCCTGGTTTCAATTTTGACTCTCTTTTACACACTTCCTGGATGATCTCCTTTGTTTTATTAGATGACATTATTACTTTCTAAGAGAAACGTTGGTAAACTGAAATTTGTCTTGGATGAGTTAAGTAGTCGATATGGTAGTTCAGAAGATTATTGGTTGGCTTTTCATTTTGGGGGTGGTACTTTGCCACTTACTTTAAAATTTAAAGTGTCGAAATCACTTGAAAACACTATATGTTAGATCTCACAATTTCTAACATTATTAACCTACGTAACATCACATTTTTTTCTCTATTATAATAAAACTTCAAAAAACTACCAACTCAACATTTTGAAAACATGGTATCTTTTAGTATAAAATTTTTTTTATTATCCTAAAGAAATTCTAATATATATTTATTTTACTTCATGTTCTACTTCATACATTTTTTTGTTCTATGATGTCTGATAAAGATATAACAGAATTTCTTAACTCTGGTATAAACTATGCTTTGCATTATGTATTCTCTAAATATTTCTTCCTCTAAAAATCAACTAAAAGTCCAATAGTTAATTGTCAGATAGACTGAATTATTTATTTACAGATTTCCTGTTCAGCAGAACTAATTGTATTCACTATAGCAAAGCAGTTGTTGGTATGGCTTTTCAGTAAGCCTTCTTGTTTCTAATTTACTTATCAAGATTGTCGTAAATTACATGAGCAAAACTGAGGTTAGGACCATGAGGTTGGAAGATGGCCTTGATGTTGCAGAACGTTAACCCAGTGTTTTGATATCATTTCAGGTAACATTTCATTTGTTGCATTTCCAGTTGCCAATACCAACTCACCAACAAAGATTTTACCAAAAACCTTAGAACCAATAAATGTGAATGTTGGACCCCAAATGGTAAGAAAATCATCAAATCTTAGAATTTGAAACTTTGCTTAGGTAAGACTAATAATGTAAAAGATAATTGTTCCAAAGATGGTTGGTCAAATGTTCTAATATTAATCTCTTAATCACTTTTTAAAAAGTTTTGTTTTTATTTCAATGTATCTGATTAAGTCTTGAGAAAAAGGCCTCGTGCTGCTTAATGTTTAATTTTCACATATTTGACTCTGTGGTTCTGGATGTGTAATATTAAGGTTTTTGTGCCCTAAATGAGACTTTTCTTGTTTTTAGTTATTTAATTAAATTGATTAGAATTCTGTTGTTTTTATGTTCTCTTCCTTTGCTCTCTTAGCCCTAAACTATGTACTCTCATATAAATCGAACATGACCCATTAGTTAATTTATATCTGGAACTATGAATTTGAAACTCTTTGATTAAAGGACATTTGAGGAAAACAACATGCCAATTCATTTTAATCTTTAACAGTAGAAATAATGGATGAAAATGGGAAATATTTAACTGTTTCTCTGAAAGAATTTCCTTAATTATGCTAGAGCCTGAAGTGTGTAGCACTTTTTTAGAAAGTCTTATTTATGAAGTTGCATGCAACTACTCTAAAAACTGTATAACTAATTTCAATGGCTTCATCCACCATTAGCAAAAGTACATAAACATTTGAACAATTACTCTTCATTGTCAGTGCTTACGTGTTCTCATCTATAGAGCAGTAAGGATGAAATTTGCCCTTATTGTGTAGTACTGTGGACTGTGTTAAATCAAACATAGAATTATTTAGACAAAAATATCTTTTAACATACTTAATGGCTCCAGAAAGTCTTCAAGACATGACATTTTCTCTGATCGCTTGAGGACTGTTAATTATCTGTAGAATTCAAGCCAAAGTTCTTACACAATTTACTGTAACTATTTGAAGAATGTAATCTAGCTCCAGACTTCATAGAGATTTAAGCTCTGGTAAGTGTTCCCATTTCAAGGTAGTTTCGGGTATATTTTCAAACATTTGCTAAGCATTTGCCCCTTACCGGCCACTACGGTACGTGCAAATTAGATAAGGCATCTCACTTGAAAGTCTGTATTTTGAAATGCGATTCTATATACACCAAAATTAAACAAACATACCTGAACTCTTATGAGTTTGGCCCTTACAGTACTCCTCTGTTTTGAGAGACTATTTCCTGTTGTTATTTCAGTGATGCTGCTATGATAAATTTGAATTTCTCTTTTGGAAACATAATTTCTCTTTTGGAAACATAATTTCTCTTTCTGTTATCAATTCGAGCTAATGTACATGAAAGCCTTTATACACCTCAGTTCTGACAATGGTAAGTAATCAGGTATACTACTTATCCAAGTACTGCAAACCTCAGAGTCAGCAAAAAAAAGGTCGGAAGAGGAGACTTGGGACTCTCCTTTCACCAGGCCAGCCCAAGGCCTTTATTTGTCTCCCTAATTCTGAGGTGCTTTTGCAGTCTTAGATCTTGGGCAGGAATCAGAGTTTCCTTTTTGATTTCCTAATTGTTGTACAATCCCAATTAGAGCCATTTCTTTCTCTTCCTCTTTTTGAACATTGACCCCTCACCTTCGATTTCTCATCTATGGTTTTAAAAAAATATTTGTTTAGTTAGAAAATTCTTGAATAAAACGCCATTCATTTGCATCTTAAAGCAAATTTAAATTTCACATTCTCTTTGAAGCCAAATCTTAAGGGTAGATAAAAATTTCAGAGGGCCCCAAGGAAGAAAAAAATTGTTTTCTGTGTAATAGAAAGTAGCAGTAACTGTTTTAGTTTGGGATACTTGCCGTTTCCTTAAAGGTATCTGTGTATATAGATGAGATAATCTCATGATTATCTTTATTTTAATATAGTTAAAAACTGCATATTCCTTACAGTGAAAACTAAAATTTTGTGATAAAATCCTTTAACATGTTACAATTATAGGTTCTTTTTTTCTTCTGAATATAGATGTTCTTTTGGCTTTTCTCACTGTAGATGGCAGTAGTACCTAAGATATATTGATTGAGGGCAGAAAAATCTCTAGAATGAGATTCAATTGTTATGTGATTTTTATAGCCTAACTGTAATCTATTGTCAAAGAAACCACATGATTACATGTAAATTAAGATCCTCTGGTTTTTTTAAGAGGGCAGAAGACTGAAATTTAAGGTAAACATTCATTTTCCTTATCAGATCAACTGAGTATTAGAAATAATTGCCTCTAACTACCTCTCATTTTAATTTGGGATTTTAAAATTAAGCTTCAGTTTTGTAAAGCATGTCTGATGCAACACTTATATAGTTTTCCTATATTCAGTGGTTTATCAAGTTCTGTTGACTTTTCCTTGGCTTTTGTTTCTTAAGACTCAACTGTCATTGGCCTAGTTTTAAGAACTCATTGCATCTCTCATGAACTTCTAACTTATTTTTCCAATTCAAGTCTAGCATCTCTCCAATTTGTTCATTCAGGAAATGTTTATTAAGGACTTACTATGTACCAGGCCTTATGCTAAGATAAGGGAACAGAGTATTGCTGATCACTCTCAGATCAGAAAAGAATATCAGCTAAAAATCTTACGTAGAGAAAGAAAAAAAAATTGAACATAGCAGCAGTTCATTTCCACAGTCATTCTCAATAATGGTAACCATTTTTTTCCTATGTCCTGTTTCTCTTCCAGCTTTCTTTTTTTTTCTTTTACAGATCCCTTTAAATGAAGTAAAACTGAGGCTACTATAGGCTACTATAGATAAAGAAAATGAAGTAAAACTGAGGCTACTATAGGCTACTATAGATAAAGAAAAAGATAAAGATAAAAGATAAAGAAAAAGATAAAAAGAACTCCTTAGTAATAATACCGCACAAGTAATGCAGTCTGTTTTAAGGGTAAATTGAAACACTTAGAATTACTTTGTGGAGACTCCTGCTGTAGGAATAGAATAGACCAGAGACTGATGAAATACTCAACTTTTCCTTCTTAAGCTGTCACACTCAGGGTCACTATGATAGAGAACATTTGAATGTGTGATGTAGTGATTGGTGAAAACTATGTCCTTTATATTGTAGAGTATTTTCTTACTGGATTTTATGTAATCCTGTCATTGAACAGAGAAGCTGTTTTTTTTTTTTCATCAGGTTGGGTCTTCTGTCTCAGTTCAGTAAATATTTATTTTGCCTTTCCTACGAGCATTGTGCTAGGCCCTGCAAACATTCACTCTGTCCTTAAAGATCTTGCATTGAAATGGAGGCATGGAGGTGGGATAGGATGTATGAAGAGGTAGGAAGTCCAAACACATTGTCTAGTATTTATATTTTTCTATCAGGCAAGCTCCTCAATAAATGTCTTGTAGTCCTTGGCATATTGTAGAGAATCAGAATTCTCCAGACATATGTCAGTGTTTATTGTCTTCTGTTTTTATTTCTTTAATAGAATTAACTTACTAAAATTATTTCTTAGACATTTGTGTATAGTAATATCTCCCTAGCCCTAAAATGGCATAATGCCAAACACAAACAGAAGGTAACTAAAATCCTTAAATATTTAGTAAATGAATAAATGTTGATTAGACTTTACGAACTCTGAACTGAGTTTGAAATGCAGATGAATCCTTCTATTTGGTTCAGTATGGAGCAAGTTAGCAGCTAACTTTATGACTCAACTTAGCTTCTGGCTGCAGAAATAAGTTTCATTTGATCAAGGAGACAAAAATTAATTAGCATTTTGAACTACATAAAACAGTAGAAATATAGCTATTTTTTTTAGAGCTGTCATTTAAAAATTATATGTGCACATAGATACTTTTCTCCCTTGATTGAGACTTAAACAAAACCTTACCATTATGGACATTTTTGAAAGTATACAAAAATAGAGAGAACCTCTGTGTACCCAGCAACTCCTTCAGCAGTTATTCACATAGAGACAGTCTTGTTTCATTAATTCTCCCATTCATTGGAGTATACATCCCCTTATTTTCTTGATGAAAATACTTTAAAAAATGTTACTAGAGTTATGAATTGTCTTTGTATTAATTATTATAAACATTTTTGGAAAAAGACATGTTCAGTTTATCGATGAAAATTATAAGACCTGGAAAGCAATTTGGTAACACATACCAAGAAACTTTTTTTAAAAAGTCCATACCCTTAGTTCCATTAATTCCTTTTCTGGAGTCTATCCTTAGGAAATAGAAATTAAGGCCAGGTCATTGTATAAAAATGTTTATCACAACATGTTTATAATATTGAATAATTGAATATACATATGTATCTAACAGGGAATAATAAATTCACGTGAGAGAATGTTTTACTATCTTTAAAATGTCTTGGAAGAATATTTAATGACATAAGGAAATACTTTTTAAAATATTAAAAGATAAAATTATATACTATCTAAATTATTTGTATAATTAATAATTAGTATAATGTCTTTGCATATATTTTGGACTGTGAAGATCTAATTTGTTGTTACCTCAGTTCTGATAAATCAAGCTTGACTGGATTTAGGTTCCATAATTTCAAAGAAAGCTTTTTATTGTTTTGTTTTGTTTTTTTTAATTTTTAAAACATTGTCAGTTGCCAACTTAATCTTTCCAAATTGCTCTTCGCTTGCTGAAACCTGCATTATGACCTGATGTCAGTATTCAGGATACTATACTTTAAGATCCTAGGATATATATGAATCAAAGATATTGCTGCTTATATTTTAGATGATTAATATTAAGTGCATTTTTGGCAATAAAGTTTCCTCTTTGTACGTAGGTTAGCAGTCACCATTATTTTGTGCCTGTAGATTTTTCTTAATAACTAAGAATATTATTTTCTTTGTCTCAACTTTACAGATTATAAGCACACCACAGAGACTAACCAGTTCAGGAAGTGTTCTGATTGGGAGTCCATATACCCCTGCACCAGCAATGGTTACTCAGACACACATAGCAGACGCTACTGGCTGGGTCCCAGGGTAAGAGTATTGTTACAACTTACATTTTTAAAACTTTTAAAAAAAAGTTTTGACCTTTATTCCTCATGATGTTGTCTTCTGTTCTTACTTTATATTACTCTAGTCCTTAAAAACTAATGTGTTTCCTTTAAAATCACCTATTTTATTTTACTTTATGTCTTTGATATAAACCATTCAAGGTACAGCCATTTGAAAATAAAGAAGAACAGTGTAATAACTTGTACCTGACTGGATCTTCTGACTTTTTCCAACCCTGAAAGAGAGCTACTTTTTGTGATTATGACACTTAGCTTCTTTGGAGATGTCGAAACTATATATTGTTTTAACGAACATAAGAAAAGAGTTATATATTGTATTGGCTATACTCAGAATTTCTCCCATGAATTCTTATTTCCTTAAAAACTAGAAAGAAACTAGGAAAGAGAGGCCAAGTATATTAAAATTTTCATTGAGTTTTCCCTTGATTCTTTTGAAACACTGAGCAATTAAATCAATATCCCTTCTATGTTACTCAGTTGCCATTTTAGTATTAAACCTTCATGTTTCATCTTTGCCTATTAAATACATTGACCCAGCCTTTCTCCACTGCTTATCATTTTCATATTTCATCTTTCCATAAAAGAAAAAAATAGTAAAATTAATGACTGAGAACTTCAGTCTGTCACTTTAGAAGTTACTTAAATTGTGGTATACTGCATTGCTAGTTCTGTCTTTGACTTAGAACTGGGTGAGTTTAGCAAACAGAAAATAAATGTTAGTTAAGAATCTCCTTCAAGGATAATAAACTAATGAAATTATCCTGGCAAAGTGTTTTAAGCCATATACATATTCCTCTACATACACACATGTGCACACACACATATATATTACACACATTAGAGACAGAAGAGTTTCATATGCGTGCATACTTTAACATTATCAATTGAGATGAAATAACAGAATCACCTATATGTAGTTCCATGGCCTTGATTCATTCCTGTGAACATTCTCATGTAGATGTAAAAGTTACTTTGGATTTCTGCATAGCCTCAAGAGATTATAACATGAAAGCCAAGCCTCTGCCTGTAGTTTCTGCACACTTGGAGACGACCAGGGTTTTGGTATTTTCAGCCCCAGCCAAGCTTTACATTGGAGTGGTCTGATTGTCTAGCGTTTTCATAGTCAGCCATTCCAGAGTAAATGAAATGTTTCTGTGCCTTCTCCTTTGTAAATCTACAATATCTTCCTCCCTAAAAATTCGTATGTATTTCACACTTCGTGATTATGTTGTGATTTCTTGGTCTTTTGATAAAATTCAAGTTTTTATTTTATGGACACATCTTTTATATTAGCTTTTGTGCTTGGTTATGTTCACTGTGGAATTAGACATGTTATAATAAATTATTCATGCGATAAAATTGTTTATATATGTGTTCTATTTATGCTCCTTTTTTTTTTTCAGTGATAGAAAACGGTCTAGAGAATTTATAGACTCTGATTTTTCAGAAAGGTGAGTATAATTCTGAGTTGTTTTTTTGTTTGGGAGATGCTATTGCGTAGAGAGTTCGGTTCTCAGACTCTAGTTTGAGTTAGTAACATGCTTTTCTTCACATTGAGTTTCTACCATTATTTCATACCACACTGAATATTCTGCTTCGCTTATCAATATATAAATTTATCGTATTTATATGGTTTCAAAAGAAATTATTCTGTTAGTGGATCGGCTATTGGTAGTATGTCATTTAGCCCTCTCCCTCCTTTTGGGAGACAGAGTGGGTCATACCCCACATTATCTCAGCATGCCCAAAGTTTAAAAACAAGTTTTAGTGAACACATTTAAGATCACAGTAAATTTTCACTTTCTTAAATAATATATCGAGTATAATATAACATTTCCTTAGACTATTAGGACAGCGTTTCTCAATTTTCGGTGTATATCACAATCACCTGTGGTCTATTGAAAAAAATGTAAATGCCTACCTATTGAGAAATTAAAAACTTTCACTTTATGGTCATTATTTGAACTTAAGTTCAGTAGTCCATGTAAGCCACCGTACTAAGTATGACATTAATGCTGCATTGTTAAAATAAGAGGCATAATCTTAGAGGCAGTTAAATTCTATAAGATCATTACTATATTAAATAAAACCTTGCAAGTTTTGCTTTTTAAATTTTATTTTTGAGTCTTAGATTTTTAATTTCCATTTTCAATGGTGTTTCTTTGTCTTTTCATCTGCTCTCAATTGTAATAGTTTTCTGTCTTTTCGGTTTTTTCAGTTTGCTATCTTTGACTTACTGTGCGCTGAGAGACTAGATGGCCAATTGTGTTAGAATTCAGTGTAAAATAAAAGTGAATAGGCTCTGAGTAAGGAAAAGAAAAAAGGACCTTGAGGCTCTATATTAAAAATGTGTGTGTTCTTGCATTTAAACGGGCTCTGCTTTAGTTCCTTGGTGGCCTTCGTTTCTTGCTTCTTGGTTCTTAACTGTTTTGAACACATAAAATCATGTCTGAGGAACTGCTGTATCATATAGAAATATAAGGTAAACTGTTCTGTTCTTTCTAATGGAAATTCCTCTTTCCGGCTCACACTGGTCTTTCTTTGTGTTTACCCTTGGGAAGGATAGCAGGACAAGTTCTTACAGATGTATTTAGCAGTGTTTAAGTCCTTAAAATTGGACTATTTGTTAGCTATGATTGGTGGCACCTATCTGCGACAAACAGTATAAATACAAGAGTTTCTTTACACCCTCCTTCATAAGAGGAGAGACTGCTAAAGACCACATGTAAAAGTGCTAGATTAAATTTGCTGGTATATCTATTGTCTCAACTTTTCCTTTCTGCATCTGGTTCTGTGACTTTCTCTTTTTCTAGTGCTTTTTATTATTCTCATAACTTTTCTGTAACGAATTCCCCCACCCCCCACCATCAAACCACAAAGATTGCTACATGTGGTTTTTGTTGTTGTTCTTACAAATCTTTATTTTCCTCTTATTTTATTATGTTTTTCTGTAATGCCATGAAAAGTCTTTTTTCCCCTTCTCCCAAGTGTTCAGGTTAAAAAGCCAGCTCTCAGCCCAAGATTAATCTTTATCTCTTCAATGCCTTATATGTTGATTTAGTATTACATGTAAGTATTTAAATTAGTTTTTCTCAGGGATTTCTACATCGGCATATGTAGATATATACAATCTTTTTATCCTCATCTTACCGCTTGACAATACAACTTTAGGTATGTTTTTACACAGCTATTCCTTGGTTAGCGTCATTTGCAAGAGCAAGGTGGTTCCTGAAGAAATATTGTTTGGGACAAAGGTTCCATTGAAAAATTCTCATTAGTTTTTCCTCGTACACTCATCCTAGATTTCCTTTCAAAGAGTTTACAGTAGGAGCTGTGAACACTCCTTTTCTGGTCTTGCCTCGGGTTTTCGATGCTGAAGTTTGTTCACTTTCTCTTTTCACCTTTGCACAGAATTCAATGGTATCTTCTAAATGCATCTCTTCCAAACAGGTCCTCTTTTCATTTTGCAAAGGAGGTCCTGGGTGTACCACAAGTGGTGATGGCAGCCTATGTGTGTTTTTCTTTATTCTTGTCCTAAATGAATAAGATTTAGCACAGTGGTGTTTCATTATTCCTTAATGCTCATTTAATCTTAATATGTTTTTTTCTCTGGGAATATAGTTAAAACTTTAAAATAACCTAATCTCAACTATAATAAACTAATAAAATCAGTATAGTTAATATCTATACTGCTTCACTGTTGTTTATGAAGTTGTTCATTCATTCAACAAATATTTTGAATATCTGTTAAGTATCACTGTGTTCTAGGCATTGGAGAGAAAAGTCTCTGCCCTTAAAGAGCTGATGGGGGATGGAGGACAGTAAACAAATAATTTTAGACTGATAGGTGGTATGCAAAAAAATAAAGATGGTTTGTGGATTTTTGGAAGGATGGTGGGTAGAATGGTGGCTACCTTAGAGAAGCCCTCTCTAAGGAGATGACATTCAAATGCAAAGAAGTCAGGCATATAAATAGCCTGGCTAGGTCGTGGATCCAGGGATTCTGTGCAGAGGGAATGGTAAATGCAAAGCTCCTCAATGAGAAACCAGGCGTGTTTAGGGGAGCACAGTGGCCTGGAGATAGAGAGAAGGGCAGAGTGATATGAGGATAGAGAGGTAGGCAGGGATCAGATCATTAAACGCTTTGTACCTCCAAAAGGGCTTGTAGGTCACAGTAGGGAATTTGGTTTCTATTCTAAGGTGTGTTTTTAGCAGAAAAATGACATGATCTAATTTACACTGGCTCCTGAGGGGAAAATAGATTCTAAGGAGACAAGAACATAAGCAAGGAAATCAGGCTATTTCAGGGAGCAGTGGTTTGGCAGTGAAGATGGGGGAAAACTGAGTTAATTTTGGAGGTAGAAACAACAATTTATTGATAGAGTGAATGAAGGAAAGGGGGAAATGAAGGATGGCTCTTGGGTTTTTTGTTTGTTTGTTTGTTTGTTTTATGAACAGCTGGGTGAATATTGATGCCATTTACATTTACCGTTGTTAGGAGTAGATTTGGGGAGGGATTGAGTTCTGTTTTAGACATATGGCATTTAAGAAGTTTATTAGCTATCTAAGTGATGATATTATTAGTTGGATCTGGAGTCCTGATCAGATTCAGGTTGTATGATAAAGTTGTGTATTTTCAAAAACCAAAAAACACTGAATGGAATTCTTTGCTCGAAGAAAGCAAAGAATACAGAAACAGAAGCACTGGAGTGAAAAATTCAATTCGAAAAGTTGACTTTGAAGAACAGGCAAATCCATAGAACCAGAAAGAATAGTGGTTGCTAAGGGCATAGGGAGTGAGGAGTGACTGCCATTATGGTGAAGAAATTAGATTGCAGTGATGGTTGCATAACTCTTAAAACCTCTGAATTGTCTACTTTAAAAAGATGAAGTTTGTGGTATGTGAATTATATTTCAATAGAGCTGTTATCTTTAAAAAATAATAATAATAAGGACTTTGGATTTGAAAAGGAGGGAGGGACACCTAATTGTCTGAGGTTGGCTAGGTACACATGCTGAAGTTCATAAGTGACTTCTCCCATAAGCTATAGACTTACATATTGAATTATTGGATGTTCTATAGGATGTCAAACTCAACATCATTGCTTCCCAATAGAAATGTCATGCAAGCCACATGTAATTTTTAATTTTCTAATCACCAATTTAAAAAGTAAAAACCAGCATGAAGTTAATTTTTGTAATGCCTTTAATTTATCTAAAATGTTATATTTTAACATTTAATTATTATAAAAATTATTCATGACATTTTACATTCATTTGTCATCCAAGTATTTGAAATTCAGTGAGTATTTTACATTTACAGTATATCTCAATTTATACTCCCTACATTTCAAGTGCTCAGTGGCTACATGTGGGTTATGCTTAGGGTACTAGACAGAGCAGATGGGGAGGTTGAAAATGGAGCTCATGAACTTGTTCCTGTCTCCTCGATCTCAGTAAATGACCCATCTTTCTTGGAGTCATTCTCCTATTTCCCTCTTCCTTATCATCCATGTTAATCAATCACTCATTTCTACCGATTTTTATCTTTAAAAGTTTTGGAAATCCATCTCTTCTTATTCATCCCTACCAATTGCCCCCATTTGAGATGAGAACTCATCATTTCTTGCCCGGGCTGTTACAGTAGCCTTTCCACTGGTCTTCCTGTCTCTGCTTTTGCTCCCCATAAATCTACTTTGCAGCCAGAACCTCTGCATAACTGAAAAATCACACCTTGCCTCTCTTCCACTTCATACCATTTACTAGTTTCACAGTATTTCACTAATAGTCTGTGACAATAATAAGCGCACAGATGAGTCTTTGTGAATGTGGGGGAAAAGAAAGTAGATGCCTGTCCTTTTGAAAAGTGCACTTATGCTAACTGAAATGTGTCTCTTTCTTAAGGTACATGACACAGTAAACGTATAATTTATAAATGAATATAATTATACTGATAGAACATCATGAAGTCCAGGTTCCTTTGCATGGCATTTAAGGGCCTGGCCCTTAATGTACCTTTCTGCTTCTTCATCTTTTGCCTTGCACTTTGTATTCTGGTAATATTGCACTGTTGATTAAAAAGCCTCTTAATATTTATCATCTGTTTAATCTTCATGTGTTTACTGCTGCTGCTTCTCCTGCCTGGATGCCCTTCCCAGATTCCTTCACTTGACTCTCTTTTTTGTTGTTGTGCTAAGAACACCTGACATGAGACCGGCCCTCAACAGATTTTTGAGTGTGCATTCTCATTAACTCTAGGCACTGCATTGTCCGGCAGATCTCTAAAACTGACTCGTCTTGCAGAACTGGAACATTATACCTGTTGAATAACAGCTCCCCATTTTCCCATTCCCTCCAGCATCCGGCAAGCACTATTCTCCTCTCTGCTTCTATGAGTTTGACTATTTCAGATACCTCATATAAGTGGATTCATGCATTATTTGTCCTTCTGTGACCGGCTGATTTCATTTAGCGTAATGTTCTCCAGGTTCATCCATGTTGTCCCATATGGCGGGATTTCATTCTCTTAAGGTTGAGTAATATTTCATTGTATGTATGTACCACTTTTTATTTATCCATTTATCCCTATGGACATTTATCTTGTTCCATATCTTGGCTGTTGTGGATAATGCTGTGATAAACATGGGGGTGCGGAAATCTTGATTTCAGTTCTTTTGGTATGTACCCAGAAACTGGATTGCTGAATTATTTTATTTTAAATTTTTTTGAAGAAGCTCCTTACTTTTTTGCACAGCAGCTATACCATTTTACATTCCCATCAACAGCGTACAAGGATGCTAATTTCTCCACACCCTCACCAACACTTTTTTTTTTTTTAGGTTATATTCATTCTAACAGTGTGAGGTAAATACCTCATCATGGTTTTGATTTGTGTTTCACTGATTAGAGATGTTGGACGTCTTTTCATGTGTTTATTGGCCTTTTGTATGTTTTCTTTGGAGAAATGTCTGTTTATGTCCTTTGCCAATTTTTTTAATTGGGTTATTTGGGTTTTTTGTTTGCTTTTTGATTTGTTTTTACTATTGAGCTGTAGGAGTGTCTTAGATAATTTCGATATTAACCCCTCATCAGAGAAAATACAGGGTTTGCAAATATTTTCTGTTACATAGGTTGCCTTTTCATATTTTTGATTGTTCTCACTTGACTCTTACTCCAGCAAGTCTTCCTCCTCTAGATGTCCCTCTCCCTAATTCCCACAGAACACTGTGAATAACTCCACCGCAGCACTTACCGTACTATATTGGAATTCTTTGTCATTATATGTCTATTTTGTCTCTCTCCCATCCCCCAAGACTCATATGGAGGAAAGGATTTTGCCTCAGTTATCATTTTTGTACTGCCAATCACTAATACAGTTCTTAGCATTGTATTGCTAAGTTGGCACTCAGATATTAATAGAACTGAACTGAACCCCTGAGATTCTTAATGGTTAAGGTATCAAAGTTTAGTCCTAGGCATTAATCAAACTTAAAATAATTGAAGACTTAGAATCATTATTAATGCCAGTGACCTCTGTTTGAAAATTGAGTAGGTAACTTTTAGGTGAAAAAGAATCGTAGTATACATGGAATACAAAAAATAAGTATTGACCAGTATAGAAACTCTTTAAGGGTAGAGTTTTTGTTCTTTGTAGGGATTTATTCCCAGTGTGTAGAACAGCACCTGGCACATAAGAGGAAGTAACTGGTCAGCAAATATTTGTTGAATAAATGAATGCTGTGCATAAGGAAACACTCTAGCTTCATACTTTATTAGGCCTTTTAGGTAAAAATTAAGTTTAAAACATTTCCTCATCCCTAATTAAATTAAAATATACCATTTGAAGCAAAAATCAAATTACTATCTTCTTATATTATTCTATAGTTTTGTGAAAGAAGTCTCTAAATAAGTATAATGGAGAATAAATGGGTTTTTTTTTTCTCTTTTAGTAAACGAAGCAAAAAAGGAGATAAAAATGGAAAAGGCTTGAGACATTTCTCAATGAAAGTGTGTGAAAAAGTCCAGCGGAAAGGTACAACATCGTATAATGAAGTAGCTGACGAACTGGTATCGGAGTTTACCAATTCAAATAACCATTTGGCAGCTGATTCGGTAGGTAGATCATGCACTTGACATTGACTCTAATGAGTTATGCAACAGTGTACCTCTTTGGGCGTCAATGTCATCAATTTACTGACTTAGAGAAGTGGAGAAATCCCCAGTTTCTCCTTTAATTGAGGATTTCATATTGTCTGGAAATTTTTTTTATTGTTGATTTTTTGTTTTATTTTGGAAAAGATTCTTTCATCATCATTTATTTCAACATAAAGATGAACAAGAATTTCTAAAATATAATTTGGGAGTTTATAAAAGAACATACATTTGTTAACATACTTTTTATGTTTGAGTGACTGGATACTTTTCTGAATCTTTTAGTGTTTCTTCTATATCTAAATTAAAAAATTGTATCTTGTTTTTAATTGAAAAAATAATTCGTGAACATGTTTATAAAAAATTCAGTTGTACCAAAGAATATAAAATTAAAGATATTTCCCTTCTACCACAGACCCTAATCTGCTTCCTCAAAGGCAATATTCACTATCACCAGATGCTTGAATATCATTCCAGAAATTCTTTATGCATAAACATAATAAATTTTATTTTAAACACAAATTTGATTGTGCTTTGCATGTTGCACTCTTAATTTTATTTTTTTTACAATGTCTTGGAGATTCTTTTTTAACACATATAAATCATTCATTTTTTTTTTTTTTAATGGAGATAAAATTACCTACAGGGAGGATTACATACATGTCCTAAGTGTAAAATTAATTTTTTTTCTTATTTATTGTGGAATAGTTTACATACAATAAGATGTGTTTATTTGAAGTGTAAAATTTGATGAGTTTTGACAATTGTATGCACCTGTGGAACCACCGCCCCCGTCAAGATACAGAATATTTACATCACTCTCAAAAGGTTCTTCCTGCCTTCTGTAATCCATCCCTCCCTCTCCCTCTATCCCTAGGCAACTGCTGATCTGCTTTTTATCATTATAGGTCAGTCTGCATTTTATTTAAATGTAATTATATGTACTCCAGAACATTACTAAATAATAAAAATTCAGGTCATATTGAGTCTTGATAACACTTGATCTTAGTGGAACTATTTATAGTATTTCAACCTTACATCATAAAGATTTTATTTTGAGATGATAACTTGATTTTTTAAATTAATTTTTTAAATTAAAAACATATCTGAAATGGTTGTTGAATTTAATAAAATCCTAGATAGTTTCCTGAAATTTTAGCATTTTTACACTGATAGTCATGAATGAGATTCATGAGAGTTTGCGGTGGGGGAGTTTGTTTTGGGTTTTTTGCTTTTGTTTTTTACTGTCTTTGCAGTTTTGATGAATAGTGTTATACTGGCTTTATAAAAACAGATTTAGAGACTTCTAAAAATCTTTCTTTTTATTACACGTTTAATAGCATTAGATATCTCTTTCTCTTCCTTGAAACTTTATGGAAATCACCTCTCATACCATTTAGGCCTATGATTTGGTAGAGGGTAAAGTTTAGATAACTTTCTCTATTCCTTCTTTGGTAATTATCTATTTAGAATTTCTGTTTCCCTGAGAGTCAGTTTGGTATTTTATGTTTTCTTAGGAAATCCTCCATTTCATCCATGTTCTCAAAATTATTTGCAGTTAGTTTTCCCAAAGAACCATCCCTTGGATTTGTTTGTACTGACCGCATGTTTTGCAGTTAATTTCTGTTTTTATCTTAATATTCTCTTCTTATTCCTGAAGTTTTGTTATTTTTCTACCCTGTAGACTATGATGTATACTTTATTTACTTTTATTATTTTTGTGCAGTAATGAAAGTCTTTATGACTGTTAAGACTTGTACACTGCTTTGTGCACTGCTTTGGATCCATTTGTTCTGATATAATGTTATTCTTTAGATATTCTGTAACTTTAGTTTTCATTTCCTCGTTGACCTAAGAATTGCATAGAAAGAGTTATTATAGTTCCAGGAGATACAGAGATTTTTGTTTGTTATTATGAATTTTTACTTTTATTACCTATGATCAGAGATTATGAGTCAAACTATTTCTGTTTTGTTCTTGTTGGGGGGAGGGTGGATTGAGTTTTTCCCTGTGAGCCATCACATGGTGATTTTTTTCTTTTAATATTCTCTGGGCACTTGAAAAGAAAGTATATGGCATTCTGAGTGAAAGCCAAAGTACTCAAAATGATTTGCAAGACCTTATATGACCTGGCCCACCATTACTTGTCTGATCTCATCTACGACACACCTCTTCAGTTACTACACACTTTGTTAATATGCCAGATATGCTCCTTATCAGGCCATTGCATTTGTCATTTCCTTTGCCTGGAACACTCTTTGCTAGGGATCCATGTGATTTCTCTCTCCCCTTCATCTAATTTTCACTCACATGTCACTGTAATAAGTCATTTCTTCTAAGCACGTTTCAACATCTAATATACATTTTTACTAAACCTCCCAATCCCAACCCCAGGATGTAAGCAAGAGTTGTTTTTCTTTCCTGTTTATTCACTGCTGTTATTTTTCTGATAATTTAGAAGTTTTATAGTCTGTAGTTCTTTCATTGGTTATCTTTATAATTTTAAGTAACTTCAATATTATGTTTCTTGTTTTACCATCTGTAGACCAATACCTGTTGATTATGGAGAGAAAAAAGAAATTAACATGCTTATATTTACTCTCATGTCCCATTTTTCTTACCACAGGATTCAGATTGAATATATGAATGGTAGTTGTTAAAAGAATATTTTTATAGTTGTTTTTATGACTTTATATTGTGCTGAAAGCGCTATTATTACTTCATTCATCTGCTTTGAATAGTTATCTGCTTTGAATCCACACCCCTTCCAATATCAAGAGGAAGAAATTAACAGACCTACTTCGTTGCTTTCTCCTGATATTTGTTGTTATATTTCTACAATGTCAGGATTTCTAATATTTACATTCAGTTCTATAACTTAAATCTCCCATTCATTTAAGTTTAGTTCTACATTTAAATGGATTTAGTGTTCTCCGCCATCCTTTACTGTTATGGCATTTGATTGATTGGATTCAGTTCTTAGGAACTACTCCACAATAAGATAAAGGGCTTTTTCTACAATATAAGTTAACATGGTTTCCTTCATTGAGAAAGCCTTGCTATCAAAAAAAAAAAAAAAAAAAGTCAGCTGAACTAAGCTGTGTGCTTTAGTTCAGTGTAATGACATTTTGTGCAAGTTCTCTATTTGCATTGTGGACTAGTAACAGTTTGTGGAACAGCATTAGTCCATAGACCACATTTGAGACCCACTGTTTACCTAGAGAGCTGAAAACATGCTTCCTTGACTTTTTAAAGTCTAATGTCCTCCCAGACAATGCAAGGACTTAGCCCACTTTAACTCCATTACTCCTTTCTGCTATATATATACTATTACTGTCATGTATTTTAGTTCTATATATGTTCTAGACTCCACAAGATATTATTATTTTATACAGTGAGTATTAGTTGAGATTTTCCTACATATTTACCTTTGAGTTGGTCTTCATTCCATCCTACATCTCCAAGCTCCATCTTGGATCATCTTTCTTCTCCTTGAAGAAGGTTCTTTAGTACTTTTTAAATTTACATCTACTGGCAACATAATCTTAAGTTTTAGATTGTTATCTTTTAGATTATTTGAAAGTATCTTTAATTCATCTTTACTTTTGAAGGATAGTTTCACTGGGTATAGAATTCTTTCAGCACTCTGAAGATATAATATTATTATTTAAATATTTTAATATCCTGTGACTGTATCTTAACCCTTAAAATTAATCACCAATAAAAATATGTTTTAGCAGGCTTATGACCAGAAGAACATTAGACGAAGAGTTTATGATGCTTTAAATGTGCTAATGGCAATGAACATAATTTCAAAGGAAAAAAAAGAAATCAAGTGGATTGGCCTGCCTACCAATTCTGCTCAGGAATGTCAAAACCTGGAGGTAAGTGGGGAAAATCTGTTTATAAATAGTAACTTGCTTTCAAAGTCATTTTAATTTAGAAATAGTTACATAATATTAAAATATTCCTAATTTTTTTATATATCCTGTATCATTTTTTAACAGATTTTTCTGTGTAGAATTTTAGAACTGGAAGGAACTTTAGAAACATGTAATCTGACTGATGTCCTGAAGAAACAGGAACATAGAAATTAAATGATTTGATTTTTCCTGTTCCTTAGAAATCTTTATTTTATTCTAATTTAATTCTGAGCACTCTAATAATAAAATTTTGGTGATTCATATAATAGGAGTAACATTTTATTTGATGTAATGCTTGCTGTATGGACCAAAAAAATGGATTAAGCTGCCTGTTTATTTCTTGTGTTTAAACTTTTACTTTTGACTCTAAAACCAGTGGCGACGGAATGGTATTTCTTCCTTATCTTTATCAGGGTGGTAATGATACATTTAGAATGTTCAGCAGTTACATGAATTTGGAGATGGTGCCTGCAAAACCATTTTTTGTTCCGTTGACTTTCATCATTATAGAAAATCTTTCCTAAATGAACATGTGCCCTGCCATACTGTTTCCAAATTGGTTTGATATAATTTTACTCTTGTGGCCATAAGGGGGGTAAACTGAGGTTAAATACAGCTTATGGAGATAAATGTGGTTGATTTCATATTTTTCTCAGTCTATTTTTACCCCCAGCAAATCAAAAATTATTTGGTACCAGAGATTCATCAGAAGTTATAGAATAGTTCTTCATATGTAACAATGGAAATGTCCTCTTTTTCTCTTTCTAATAGAGTGGAATTTGAGGGTCATTTTAATTACCAGTAATATTAAGCTAATAACAAAGACTCAGTGAGCAAAAATCTATTTGCATCTACTATGTACTTAACCAAAGATTATACAAGACAAAATTTCTGATCCCAAGGAACTTTCATGCTAATTGAGGAGAAGGAAAATGTCAGAGTTACTAAAATGTGATTACTATGTATGAAGGGTGTATGTACAGATTCTCTGGAAAGAGAGGTAAGGGAGGGCTTTACCAAGAAAAAAGTCTCTAAGCTCAGTCTTGAGGGAGGAGTTTGCCAAGTGATTTAGGGCAGGCAGGGAGGGCCTTCCAGCCAGAGTTCCTGCAAGGGCTGAGGCATTAGGAAGCATGTCCACATGTGGATGTGGCCAGAGTACAGTTAGGACCTGATCCTATAAACAATGGGAAGCTACTGAATTATAAGTAGGAGGGCTGATAGGATGTGTTGTGCAAGATCACTCTCCTTGAGAGTTGGAAGCTGAACTAATAGGAAGACGAGAGAAATTGAGGGGATGGATTGGAGATGGCCTGAGTGAAGGCAGTGGCAATGTGGTCTGAGTAGTGTTTTTAGAGGTAGAATCAATTCAGCTTGGCCTGGTTGGATGTGGAGCATGAGGGCCATGTAGAGACGTGGCCCGTCATAGCTTCAGATTCAGGGTGAAACTCCTGCAGATCATTTCAAATCTAAGAGGCCACACAGGTTTTACAGTCAGTCTTAGTAACTTCGGATTAAAGTGTGGTAGTGGTTAAAGGAACAGAGAGAGAGGAGACTCCTGGTGCGGACTAGAGTAGATAGAAAGCAAATAAGGAATACTTCCTTGGAGAAGTCAAGAAAGATGTCTTATTTGATGTCATTGACTTTTGCCCAAAGAGATAGTGAGGAGCTCGTTTATAAGGAAATGCAGACCCTAATATCTGTTTTCTAGGTAATTGTAAGAGTAAGGAAAATAATAGTTGTTCAAAGCTAGGAAACTGTCCCACAAGCATGTTTCTTGTGACAAGTGGGAATTGTATATTGAATGCGTAAGCTATCTGTATTAGCAGCTGTGCCCATTTAAAAGTCAGCTAAAATAGAATATACCAATTTTATAGCAATTTTACCTCCATAATAAAATAGATAATAAATAAAAAATGAAAGAGAAAGGTCAGAGAAATGTGGCATGGTTTAATTTCTCTTATCAGGGAAGTGATATTTACACAGGTGAAACAGGAAATTATACAAGATAATATAGGATTAAAAGTTAACTTCTATATGATCAGGGCCAAGTATGGAAACGTTAGAGGTCCTTTGCACTATCTGGAAGGAGAACATTAGTACTGAAAGTTCTGCTGAAGATTTTAACCCTAGTGGGAGGGTTGAGAGCCTGAGGTAGAATAAAGAAGAGGAAAGACCGAGAGGTTATAGCGAGATGCGCTAGTAGTGGAAGGCAGGGTGACAGTGTGCAGCAGGGCCAGGTAGATCCATTCACTTTTCAACTGGTAATTTTCTCTTTTTTCAATCATAATATCTAGTAGTTGGTGATAGTTTAAGAAAAATTAACTCATGAGAGTGCAAATTGGCGAAACTTTTTGGGGGAAGACTTTGTCTCAGGAGCCCCATATGCTTTGTGTTTTCCAACAGGGTAAAAAATGCAAATGAATGAATAAGTATATGAAATGTAAAGTAAAAATAAAAGTCAGTTAAACTGAGATCTTAAATGAGATCTTACTTTATTCTTGGGGTTGTGGGGGTGGGGTGGTTAATACAGCAGAGTAATAGTAGGATCTCTGGAACAATGTGGCTTAGGTTCTTGCCATGCACTAGCTGTGTGACTTTGGACTGTTACTTAATACTCTATGCCCCCATTTCCTGGATAACAACAATACTTACCTCACACATAGGGTTTTGCGAAGACTGGTTTAGATATGGGGTATAAAATACTGAGTTGAGTGGGGCACACAGAATAAGCATTCACTAAGTGTTAGTTAGGTCTGACTCTGTTAGAACTAACATACTAAGTATTCATTAAGCAGATGAATTTCATTGCTGATAACATTTCGCTGTCTTCTCTACTCGCTTATCCCAACCCCTGCCTCCCAAAGAGGTGCGATTTGCTTTTATTGACATTAATAGTTAAAATAGGTTGCATTTCTCTTAAGAAAATTCTTGATATTTCAGAATTGGAGCTTGAAAATGAGCAGTACTTTATACTCTATGTGTGTTCATGTTATTTTGTTACCTATGTTTTAAAGATAGAGAAGCAGAGGCGGATAGAACGGATAAAGCAGAAGCGGGCCCAGCTGCAAGAACTTCTCCTGCAGGTAAAGATGCTGGGATGTTTTTCATTATCCTCCCTATCTGTATTCTGTTTCTTCGCTTACTTGCTTTTAAAGTCAGTGTGTTCTCCTTTGGGTACCTTTGAGTAGTGTCTGGTGAGACCACACTGTAGGGCAGCCTCCCCCACACCTGAGCCATTGACATCTACGTGGTCCGCCTTAAGCTGATTCCATCTCTCACCATCATCAGGACTCCACAGCAGCTCACCTGCCCTGTGTGTGACTTACATCATGCAACAGTTTACTTTTGACACTTATCCTTACTCTGAGCAGAAACTATTAGGAGTCTTTGTGTGTATTTTAGCCTTAATTTGGAATAGCAAGACATAAGGCTAGTTAAATTTTAGGCACATTGAATAAAATAATCAAATCCACTATAATACTTACCTATAAATAACAGAATAACATGAAATGATTTAGTAAGCTTTGTAGAATTACTAAACCTTAAAATGCATTTTTGTTTAAAAGAAAATTAAATTTTATTATGTAATAAGGATCTCTATATTTGTACTTTTTTGGATAATTGCCCAGAATTTGAATGACTCTTTAAAAAATATGGTAGAGCCTTTATATAAAATTATGTGAGGTAAAATCACAGGGTAGATGGACCCTTTTTTTTTTTTCTACTTTTGGTAATTGTAGTTGATGTAAAAAGTCACTCTGAACTGTACAATAGGGAAGTTTTCAATCCAATCAAAAAAAAAAAAACTTTGTAAAATGAGTCAGAGTCTTTAATAAGCAGATTGTCTTTATTTGAAAAGCTTTCAACCAATCATAAAATCAACTTTGATTTGAACAACTATAGGCCATTTAATTTTTGGTATCATCCACTTCTCTGCAATAAAGATAAGCAGTAAGTTACCAAATAGTGTAGCGAGTTTTTTCCTAAAATACTCACTTCATCTAATGGACATAGTATGTTAAGTATTCTTAAATATTCCAGATTTTCCTTTTTCACTTTCTAGAAACTTATATTTGTTTTTCTTTCACATTCATGTACAAATCAAAGGGGCAAAAGAAGACCATTTAGCCTTTCCAGAGATCTCTGTCTGGTCTGAGAAGGAAGTGGGGCCAGGGCTGAGGAGTAGCAGCAGAGGAGAGCAGAGACTTCCCAAACATAGGAAGCCCCAGAGATGGTGTTCCCTCCCGATTAGGCCATTTCTTTTTTTCTTTCTGTGTTCTGTGTCTACTTTTCGTAAAATTCCATGGTACCTACCCAAAGAGCTACTGCTGGAGCGGGCAGGCATTTTATGTATTTTTTTTATAGTGGATTTCCAAATAAGGTTTTGTTTGAAGAGAAAGTTCTGTAGCTTTAAACAAAACAAAACAAAAAAACCTTGACATCTCACAGTTCATTCCTGCAGCTCCTCCCTCTAGAATCCTGCCGACTTGGAGGACTGGCCTCTCACCCCTGCACAGTCACCTTCTTCCCCTAACTTGCCTCTCTGTCATCTCTCGGTCCCTAAACCCTTGCTGGGCCTCTCTCACATTTCCTCAGAAGTCTCAGGGAACATCTTGGAGTTTGATTTTTGGCATGTGTTATTTTAAAAATCTGTTCCTCGGGATGCCTGTTTGTTTATTAGAAAGAATGGTGCTGAACAAGATCGCACTCATATATAGGAGACTTCCCCATCTCTAGATGGCCAGCACCAAGCATGAAGTCAAATATTTTTCCACTGCTTACCTTTGTATGATGAACACTGTATTTTTTTAAGTCCTAAATTTCTTTTCCTCTCTAAACAAGATCTATAGAATATTCCAACCCACAGACAACCTAGCTGTCAACATTTATAAAAGCAGGTCTCTCTACATATTGAAATGAAACCCAAAGTATAATTGAAAACAATTACTTCTGCTCTTCTGGTAGACATATTAGCTTATTTCCTTCTAGTGTTTTGTTTTTCTTTCTTTCATCAAATAACATTTGACGAAATGTCATAGAAAGTAAATTAAACAAGTTATCCCTGAACACTAATAATTTGCCATGGTTAAGCTAGCTTAATTTTTTTTTCACAGTTAATATCACAATTCACTGACATCCCATGGCATAGGTAAGTTTTATTTAACATGCCTCCACATTGCTTTTATCCTTAATATCATCGAAGAGGAATGCTGTGAGTACATTATAGCTCTGGAGAATCCAGATACCCTACTTACGTCTATACAGTGTCCCTTCAGCCTTTAAACTTTTCCCAGAGCAAAACGTCTGAACACACCAAAAGCGTTTCAGCCTCTGAAATAGATGTTAATGAGCTTGGAAAGAACAAAAGCCTGAAGGAAATCAATCAAAGGGTAACAAATAAAGCAATCAGTCCAAAACCAGTGGGATGCGAGTTTTCTTTTTACTATCGAAATAATATTATATATGTTTTAACTGCTCTCTGAAACATATTTGATGTTATTAAGTTGTACACAATATTGACCGATGAATCAGAAACATATAAGAGCTCTGACTTAATCACTGTTTATAGTCCCTGCTTTACCAAGGCCCTCCCATGAGGCCACAAGGCTGGGCAGAGTTTGGGAGGATCTCCCAAGGTGCTTTTTCGAGTAGAAGGGAAGAGAAGCTAGGCAGAAGTATTTAAACATATCATTCTTTTCTCAGTTTTACAGCATCAGCATATTTTCCCTCAATATTAAATGAGTTAAGCAATAATTATAAAGTAGCCTTAGTTCTTTAGCAGCAGAAAATGACAAAGAAGTGTGACCTAGGTAATGTTTGGTAGTGAGACTGCTAGTGGTAGTTTTTTGATAGTGATTTTTGAACACTGTCAGGGCTAAAATAAATTAGTGTTTCTTCTGTTTGTGCATTTTAAAAGAGTAAATATCCACTTTCCAGGGAGATAGCATCCAGCTGTTTTAAGATGATGATAATCTTAAAGTTTAGTTAAGGCTTACACCCTAAAATAAGCAATCCTAGGATAAGATTGCTGAAACAGAAAATAAAGTCATCACTACTGGGTGAAAAGATGGAACCAGCTGATGAAAGGGAATGAATGGCTCTGACTTCAGGAGCTTTTAAAACCAGTATCTATTTCACAAGCACATGAAAAGCTTGAATTGTGTAAGGTCTTTCTAGCTGTGGAATTCTATGATGCATATGTCATATTAAAAAGGGGCGGGGATCACCTTCTTTGGCTTTTGAGTAATGGTTATAACTAAAAGTAGGAGCAAGACTCAGTGTAGAGATTCAGGCCTTGACATATCTTATCATCAGTGCTAAGCCTCAGTTTCCTTATCTGAAAGATGTCAAGTGGGGAGAGAGCTGGGCTACATTCCAAACTGTGCCCTAAGGAAGTTCTGTGGAGGAACTTAAAGGGTGAATGAGGGCAGAGCTGGCAGAGCTCATGACCCCCAGCCAGCCAGAGCAACGCTGCTTTCGTCTGTTTTATATAGTGGGTGTCCCATAATTTTCATTCGAGGAAAGGGTTCTGTGGCTTTATAAAGTTTATGTATCATTGGGCTAGACGATCTAAAAGATGTATTCAACCCTAAAGTCTTGGGAGTCTGTGTTAGAGAAGCAGAAAACATAAGCTCACGTGGTGTCACTTTCACTGTATCACTCTAAGAAGAGTCGCAGGTGCCACTGGGCTCTCTCAGATTTATAAGATGCGTTTCTATGGATAAGGGAAATCATGAGCTCCCTTATTTACATTAGGATGATGTTAGATATCATTTAAATGTATATTTTTCCCCTGGATATTTATTTATTGAATCAGATCATTCTAATCTTTTTTCTATAATGTTTAACTTTAGTTCACTCATAGGTGGAAGGCCTCTTGAAACTCTCTAATTTTAAACTACATTATAAGCATATTTATCTTAATTCATTTAATTCCAAGTCACTTCTCCACATTAAAAGACTATAATTTTTTTATTGGTCATTACAGCAAATTGCTTTCAAAAACCTGGTACAGAGAAATCGGCAAAATGAACAGCAGAACCAGGGCCCTCCAGCTCTGAACTCTACCATTCAGCTGCCGTTTATCATCATCAATACGAGCAGGAAGACAGTCATAGACTGCAGCATCTCCAGCGACAAGTGAGTGCAGGGCTAGGGGAAGATTGCATGCTAGCTTTCTGTTAACAAACATTTAGCATTTAAAACGAAGAGGAGTGTACTCCATTTCCTGAATTCTACAAGGCTGACTTCCTTGGGGCACGTGAAGCACTTTTCCAGCATGGAGTGCTGTCATCAACTAGTATGTCCTCCGTCACTCCCCTTTTGCAGCACTCAGTCTCATGGCTGGCACCGTGCTGTCTGTTGCCTGCAGAGTGGTACCTGGACCCTAGTCAGGATATGTGTATATGTGCATGCGTGTGGTATAACTGGGCGAGTAACTGCAGTAAGGTCGACCATCAGTGAGGGCCTGGCACAAGGTCGGTGTGCGGTGATTCACTATCATAGTCTATGGTGGAAATATGGTAGATCAACATGTGGCATTAAAGCAATTAATTGTTTTTCTGTGTCACAGTTGACTGTGCATCTGTTTATTAATGGATGAATAGACTTGAAAATGCTAGATGTGTTCTCTGCTTTCTTATTTATCTTATAACTAAAAATTTATACCTTTTGACTACCTTTACCTAATTTCACCCCACCCCCTTGGCAACCACCAGTCTGTTCTCTGTATCTATGAATTTTTTCTTTTTAGATTCCACAAATAAGTGAGCTCATACACTTATTTCGTTTAGCATAATGCCTTCAAGGTCCATCCATGTTGTCTATTTTTTCAAGATAGTGATTTCCTCTGCATATATTCCCAGAAGTGGAATTGCTGGATCATATGATATTTCTATTTTTAATTTTTTGAGGAAACTCCATGCTGTTTTCTATAGTAGCTGCACCAATTTACAACCCCACCCACATTTTTTATATTTTAAGTAAGATTGATGATACTATTCATCAGAAAGATTGAGAAGTAGCAGTTTTCAATACAAAATGTACGTATAATTTATTTCACCCTTCATGAAAATAGTTTATATCCGTGGTCTTCAGACTGCGAGCAGTTATCATGAGATAGTTAAGAGGATAGGGTACAGAGTGAGACAGACACGAGTGTGGATTGTGGCTCCCCCATTTAACTGCTTCAGAGCTCTGTTTTCTGAACAAATCAGGATGATATCAAAGCCTCTGTCACTTCCTAACCGGGTGAGGATTAAATGAAATAATGCCTATAAAGGATCGGATTCAAAGCAAGCACTTTATAAATGTTAAATGCTGTTACAAAGGGTCAGCATATAATTTATCATTCAAATTGAGATACATTTGAAAGCAAAAGGAAGCTCAGTGATCACATAAATACCAAAGGCAGAGCCCAGGACTGTCCCAAGGAGATTGGAACTTCTGGTCTCCTCAGAGCTGCAGCTTTGCCCTTGGGCTTCTTCACCGTCTCTTGTTTTTCCTAGTCTGCTCCCTGGCAGTGTTGCTTCCCCCGAATACAGAGATTCTGGGTCACTTAAATAAGAAGGTACCTCCCCCCCCCACACAAACACATGCACACACAAAAAGACAAAGAAGAAAAACAGCAAGTGGGGTTTTCAGAAGTATTTGATAATTAAAACTATAGGCACAATTAGAAATAGTAGAGACTATGTGGGCTATGAAGTCAGAAGATCAGTTTTTAATCTTTCCTCTAGCTATGTAGTGTCTTAACCTCTCAAAGATCTCATTCCTTCCTTTATAAAAATAAGTATTATAGTATTGAAGTTGCTGGTTTACAAAAGTTATAGATATATTCATAAAGGGCTAGCCCAGTGGTCAGTAAAGGGTAGATTCTATATTGCTATTCACACACTTGGCAAATTTTTTACAAAAACCTGTGTCTAAAAGAACTAACGTAAATAAAACCGAGAATTCTAGAGAGTGGTTAACATACTTTCTGGTGGGCGGGGGAAGAAACCTGTTAGAATTCCAGTTACTCTCTCCAGTCAGTCTCTTGCTTTGTGGGGAATTATAAAATTCTCTTCTTCGGTTGGTCTTCTAAGTCTAAAAGGAGTAGCAGGAAATCTGGGAGTCATTGGCCTAAGGGTTTTATGGATTCTCTTCATCCCGAATGGGGTCTAGTAAGGTTCCCATCCGTGGGTGGTTACTGACTGACTCATGCTCCTTCCTGGCCCTTCCCTGCGTGGAGAAGAAGGAGGCCCTAAGAAGCTTGTAGAAGCTTGTTATTCAAGATAGGTCCTAAAGCCTTGTCTTTCACTTACTTTGGAGATGCAATCTTTTCTCCTTAATTAGCCAGGAGGCTTTCCCACTATGAGGATTAAATTTACAGAACCATCTGTTCTTAAACCATGTCTGGATTCATGTCTGTGGCAGGCACTCGCCTCACATTTTTTGTGGGAGTTTTTCCTGGAAATTTGTCCATGTACTTTATTCAAGTTCATATAATTCAAATTATTTAAATATGGCATTTTGCTTTAAATTCTGATTTTTGCCCTGATCTAAGATCTAGCATAAAAAGTTTGACCCTCACATAATTTTAATAGAGAGCACTTCATGACAGTGTGAACCTACCATTGTTCCTGTGCTCTGTCCCTGTAAATCTGAGGCCTGTGGGTGAAGGTGCCCCAGGGCCTCGCCTGAGAGTTAGAATGGCTCTTTCTTCCTACATTCACTTCTTTATTGAAAGCTTATGCTAGGAAGCTGGGCATCCTGATTTAGTCTTTTTCAAGAACATTTTTTTTTTTTTAGGCGAGGCAACCTTTTGTTGACCTCACAGATTGCAAGGACCTTGTCAGTTTACAATCCCTTATTTTTAATCTTTTACGCCTACAGCACCTGGTCTTCCTAGGTGGTCTCCCATCCATGTAATAACCAGGCCCGACCTTGCTTAGCTTCCGAGATCAGACGGGATCGGACTTGTTCAGGGTAGCATGGCTGTATACAAGAACATTCTTAAGACATTTTACTCCTTAGACCCTTAAGACAGGATTTGGGGATTGGTTAATTTGTGAAAAGTCTTCCATTTATTGTTTATCAAAGTGAGCCATAGCTAACATTTAACTCATGAAATGAAGTAAGCAATCAGAATGTTTTTTCTTAATAGGCCAACTCATAGTAAGGTTATGTTAAAGTGGAAATCTTTCTTAATATTTTATCTTTTGTGACAAATCTGCAGACAACTTTAAAAATACTAGATTTAGACTGGAATTTCTATCTCCAGTTTGCAACAGCTTAATTAGGGCTAAAGTTTATGGACTCCTTTTGTCTGTCACAAGAAAATTGTTTTAATTAGGAAAGTGGTATATTTGAGATGTCATCTACCCAGAACACAGCAAAATGACTCATATTGCTCTGAACAGTAACAGTTTCTAGGACAATACCTGAACTGAGGCCCTCATTCTTTTGTGTAACATATTGAGTACAAACCTGTTCAGACTTCTCGAACACGTGGAAAACCCCATATCATTTTGTTTCCTGATGTAGGTTTGAATATCTTTTTAATTTTGACAACACCTTTGAGATCCACGATGACATAGAAGTCCTGAAGCGGATGGGGATGTCTTTTGGCCTAGAGTCAGGCAAATGCTCTCTGGAGGATCTGAAACTTGCGAAATCACTGGTGCCAAAGGCTTTAGAAGGTTATATCACAGGTATGTTAAGTAATGCTTTCACATGTTGTCCCTGATTAAATGTTCAAACCCTAACTTGTTAAAACCTTTCTCCCTTTCTCATAGAAAGTTAGTTCAAATCTATTCCTGTCCTCAATTCTGTGCCCTTCCCTACTTCTTTAAATGTAGCCACTCTTGAATTTCTTATTTATTATCACTTGCTTTTGGTCAGAGATACAAACACAAATATAGTAAATTGGAAACAATTTCTTATTTAGTTTTGTCTACCCCTGATCTTTATATGTAAATAAAAGCAGCGATTCTTTAGTGATTTGATTTTTTTTTTCACACATCATGTTCTTTAGATTTGCCCATATGATTTAATGTAGCTGTAATTCATACATTTTTACTGCTGTATAGAATTCCATGATGTGACTATATCACAATGTATTTGTTCGTTTTACTAATGATAAACCTTTAGTTTGTTTTTCTAATTTCTTGATATTAAAAAACAGTCCTGCTTTGAACATTCCTGTAACTATATCCTAGTGACCGATTTGTTTTCGCCAAGTTACACGCTCACCTGCACCATGGACGCATCCTATTTCCCCAGTCAGCTGTAAAATGGTGGTGTGATTTTTTTTTTTTTAATTGGAATTTAATTCACATGCCATAAAATACACAATATTTTTTTTTTTTTGTAAGATTTTATTTGAGTCAAACTGACCACATATGCTGGGGAGCAATCTATCAAATGCTTCCAAATACACCATTTTCAAGGATACGATTCAGTGGTCTTTAGTATATCCATAAGGTTGTGCAATCATCACCGCTAATTCTAAAATACTTTTATCACCCCAAAAAGAAATTTCATACACATTGGCAATTATTCCCTATCTCTCCCTTCTTCCCAGCTCCTGGCAACCACTAATCTGCTTTCTGTCATTATGGATTTGTCCATTCTGGACATTTCATATAGATGGAATCATGCAATATGTGGCCTTTGTGACTTTTCTACTTAGCATAACGTTTTCAAGGTTCATTCATGCTATAGCGTGTATCAGTACTTCGTCTCTTTTTATTGCCCTTGTATGATACACCACATTTTGCTTATCCATTCATTATTTGGAGGACATTTGGAATGTTTCTACTTTTTGGCTATAATGAATGATGCTATGATAAACATCCTTGTACAGATTTTTATGTGAACATAAGTTTTCAGTTCTGTTGGGTGTATACCTAGGAGTAGAAATCCTGGGTCATATGGTAACTCTATATTTAAATTTTTGAGGAACTGCCAAACTGTTTTTCAAAGCTGTTGTACCATTTTACAATCCTACCAGCAATGCACGAGGGTTCCAGTTTCCCAGCATCCTTCTCAACACAACACTTGTCATTGCCCATCTTTTTTATTATCGCCGTCCTAGTGGATGCGAGGTGGTATTTCGCTGTGGTTTCAGTTTGCATTTCTCTAATGACAAATGATGTTGAGCATTTTTTCATTGCTTATTGACCATTTGTATATCTTTCTTGGAGAAATAAACGTCTGTACAGACTCTTTGCCCATTTTTAAATCGACTTTATTATGAATTAAAAGGGTATACTTAAAAACAAAAGCACTGTTTTGCATATTCTATGATTCAGTTTGTTTTTTTTTCCACTAATTCGGAAATCTTCTTTATGATTGTCCTAATGTCAAGAATTAGGAATATTCCGCACAGATAATTTGGATGTATAAACAGTGCTCCTGCCTTTGCTTTTGGCCATTTCCTTCGTTATAAGTATTACCACCTAGAATTTTGCATCGCTGTTTGAAGGCATTCTCACATTAGTTTTATGGTGTGTTAAATAGAAGTAAAGAAGTAGCTTTTATTTTGTTTTATTTTATGATTTGGGCCCTTTGGTCACAACACAAACGTCTGTCGATTGAGATTTGGTTTCTGTTGGGTTTAGTTCTTAAATTGGCACCATCCACCTCCTGCAAAGGTGACCCCATTTTCTTGCCCCTCCGCCAAGCAGTCCCGTTACCTTCCCCGCACACACCCGCTCGGTTCTCCCCACACTTTCCCAGAGCAGGACCTGCTGTTTTATTAGCAGCCCAGTCCTCCTGGCGGTCCAGCCAGGGTCTAAAGAAAGGGCTTACTCAATAAATCACCAGAACTTTGTTTTAGCTCATTCTCATTGTAAAAGCTCAGGGCGATTAGGCAAGCTCTTTGGTTTTTATCTCTTCATGACCTCATTGGCAGATCAGGCTACAGACTTTCTGGTTAGTTCAAAAGAAGAAACGTGTGCCTTTCGTGTGCAAAGGGCCAGAGGGGCTCTTAAGATGGTGAGAACCATTGTGTGGGTCCTATGATCATGTGAAAGAAACTCAGGCTTTTCAGAGCCATTGTGAAAAGAAAGTTTAATGTGTTATGCTCACAAACAAAATAGCTGTGTTCAGACAGAAAGTTTCCATATATACTAATTAATATTCAGTACAGGATTCTGCCTTTAATTTTATCTTGTACAGACTTGTTATTTAGTGTATTTAAAGTCTGCTATTCTTTTTAGAATTGAAGGTCTTTTTTTTTCCACAGCTTCCTTAGTTAGCCTGTGAGAAAAGGTTCAAAAGGCCGTTCTAAAATCAATGTAGTCATCGAGCTTACTTTTTCCCAGCATAGGAAGCCTCTCACTCGGTCAGACGGTGCCAGGATGGCAGAGATTCCAATCCCAGTACACACAGTTTTATTTATTTATTTTTGCACAGTAATTACAGAACTATTGATTAAATAGCATAAAAGCTCATTTTGGCAAATTACGTTTTCTGAGTGTACGTTCAATTTTATCTCATAATGTAGCTCAAAGGATTTCTTTTTAGGAATGTACAGGTAGGTAGGTAGGTAGGTAGGTAGAGAGAGAGAGAGAGAGAGAGAGAGAGAGAGAGAGAAACTCACTATTTTGTAAATGCATTCATTCAGTAACATTTAGATATGTTCCAGTCACTGCCTTCCTTGAGCTAACATTTTAGATAAGGAGACAAGTACTAAACAAATAAAATTACAATAAGAGTTGATCAAGGTTGTGATAGGAGAAATATGGTACATGCGTAGAAAATAAGATCAAAAGGATATATCCAAAATACGGCATGCAGGCTGAAACAGGAATACCTGTCTCACCCTTGAGACAAACGTGACTGCTTGTGACCTTTTAAAATAAGGGCTAGTTTGAGTTATAAGCAAAGGATACTGGGGAAAATAATAGATCTTTGATGACTTGTATCACTGAATTCACCCATGGGCACTTGAAAAAGACGGTGCAATGGGAGTTTTGGTAAAAATCTTTCTGTCCTCACTGATACTTCTGGTTTGACTTTCTCTTTACTCACTCCTGGCTGTGGCTTTTCACATCCACAGTCTCAGAGTCCCTGAGTCTTTTGTGATGAGGACAGCAGGTGTCCAGGGTAGTATGGTGATCCTTGTACTCAGTGAGCTGCCCTCTCCTATTGAAATTAAAAAAAAAAAAAAAAAATGAGGTTGTAGGATTCGTTTAATTTGAATTAATTCTTTCTTGTTATAGTCTGCTTTTCTGTATTTTTTTCCTGTTCTTATGTTCTAGAAATTTTTTTTTTTTCCAAGCTGAGGAAACCTGGGTTTTTCTGAGGGCGGGAGACTCGTCTAGCTATAGTTTAGAACAGGCTTATGATGCCCTTACTTGTCTGCTTTCCTCACCCTTAACGGTAGCAGCCACAGAACTCGCAGAGGCTACCTCTTCTGTTTTTGTTTTTTTTCCTATAGATATCTCCACAGGACCTTCTTGGTTAAATCAGGGACTCCTTCTGAACTCTACCCAATCCGTTTCAAATTTAGACCTGACCACTGGTGCCACCTTGTCCCAATCAAGGTACGTATTTTTTCAGGGTTAGAAAGGCAAGCCACGGAGCCTCGTCCCTCTCTGAAGGCGAGAGCCAGCGTGTCATTGCCAGAATAGGTCCTGAACAGATTTTGGCAGAGCTCGCCAGGGGCACCTCCTTTCCCGCGTTGTCATTCCTGTTTTACCAAGCTTAAAACATACGCCGCATTAATGAGCCTGTGTGTTTTTAATTGTTTGCTAGTGTAAACCAGGGGTTTTGCTTGGATGCTGAAGTGGCCTTAGCAACTGGGCAGTTCCTTGCCCCAAACAGTCACCAGTCCAGCAGTGCGGCCTCTCACTGCTCCGAGTCCCGAGGCGAGACGCCCTGTTCCTTCAACGACGAAGACGAGGAAGAAGACGAGGAGGATTCCTCCTCCCCAGAATAAAGACAGGAGGAAACCCACGTTTCAATAATATTTGACGCTCGTGTGTTTTTAGTGTGAGCTCTTGTTTTTGAAATGATTGCTTCAGTCTTTGCCTTTGTTTGCCCCGTGCGTTCAGTGAAAACTAGGGAAACACAATAAGCAGATTACACGAAGGCTGACATGATCGAGATGAAAGTTAACGTAGTGTGAGTGAAGACTCTGCACAACAGAGCACTAGATCACATCTCAGACAGGGTGCGCTTTCTGAGGTGATAGAGAGGGGATAGTCCCAGAAGATTGGCAGCACGAATGAAGCTCGTTTATCTTCCTCGAGGTGGGGGTCTTTGTGTTCCTGCCCGCCCACGCAGCCCTCCTTAGAATTAAGATTGCTACAGGGAGCAGCGCTTGATGATTATGTTTCTCTAGTTTCCCTCCCCTGCCTGGGCTGCCTTTTACAAGGCACAGATGAACATGAAAAGTCCCAGCGGGGGCGACTTGTACAGTGAGGGATGTAGATGGCAATCCTTGTGGCCTCGGGAGCACAGATTGAACTGCTGAACTAGTTGAAAGTCTAGTTGAGGTGCTTTACGCATCAGCTGCCTTAGACGGCTTCTAGAAAGGAGCGAGTGCTAATTCTTAAGTACTTAAGTGATATTTAGAATAATTTATAGTAAAGCTGAAATGATCATTATTAGCCAATGCATTTGGGGCATAGAATTGTTTAGGGCTACTTCTGGAAGCCAACATAGAATAGCATTTCTGCGTGCATTAAATACTTTGCCAGCACTGCCTTTCGCCAGCGTTCTGAATCTGGAGTTTTACGGAGAAGGGAATTGTGTCTAGTTTTAATCAAAGCTATGCATTTCATATAGCGTTTTCATTTACAGCAAAAGAAATTCTGATGACCGAATTGCTTGCTTACCCCTGCCGTCATTGTATTTCACTCATCGTGCAATTGAAAATGAACCAAATGTCATTGCTTTTAAAAGATGTATTTTTTCAGAACATGAACAGCAATGTTTTCCTGTACCTGTCACCTTTTGTACATTTTCATGAATCAAAACGACCTTTATTGGGTTTATTCCTGGGTAAATTGCATTTCAAACTAACCCGATGTCGTGTTTCACGGAAACTGTCGTAAAAATGTTGAACTCTCTGAATGGTTGGGTTTAAGCGCGATCCCCAGTGTCTTGCTTCATAGCCTCAGAGCCAAAGATGCCGCCGGCACCCAGCGTGGGTGTGTTCACAGTTAACGTCTCCGAATGGAGGGGTGTGGAGACATCTGCCACCATGGCCAGACCCCGACTTGATTTCACATTAAGGCCTTGAAAAGGAGCCCATGATAATGGAAAATTAACTCTAAATCTTTGTTTCGAATCATTGGGATTTGCCCCAGCTGATACATCTAGCATCTGTGGGCCCAGCACCAAAACCAGCACCTTTTCTCAATCCCATGGGGGAAGCGTGGGTGCCTTAGTTAGGATGCCTTTTTACAGCTCTGCCACTGTGCTTACAGGGAGCTGCAGGTAAAAAAAACTTGGCTGACCTAAAATTTTCATTAGGCCATTAAAAACTAATCCACAAAAACATACAACTTTAAGTTCCTTGGAGACAAAAAACTGATTCTGTCAGAAATGAGCCATCGTGCAGACTCAGAGTGTTCGAGGGGGCACAGATAAAGAGAGGCAGTCTTCAGAGAATTCCATCTCAGCCTGAGTTCTGGGGCACACCCCTGCGGCTGGACAAATGGGAGGAGTCGGAAGCTGCAAAGGCCACAGCCGGTCCCCATGGGCCTCCAGGAGACAGTTCTGACAAGGAGATTGTCAGCCGCACAGTCAGGTGAAACCGGGCTCCCTTCCAAACTGTCCTTAAAGAGGCCGCCTCCTCCCTTAATAACCCTCACCTTTCCCATCTGTGTGCTCAGAGCGGGCCCAGCAGCGACCTGGTGAGGCCACGGGCTGCCGCAGCTAGCTGTTCAGTCTTCAAAGTATTGTGATTCGGCTCTCAAGGCCTGTACATCACCGTTCAGTGCTGGCACATGAATCCTAACCAGCCCTTTACCAAATAGTGAAATCCTTGCTAGAGTTCTTGAGAAACCATCCCTCCCATCCTTCCTCCCTCCCTCCGTGTCTCTCTCCCTCTCTCTCTGCCGCTATCAAACTTTAAATTGATATAACATGGGTTTAAAAGAAAAAGCAACCAAAGACTCTTCGTCATTGGTGCCCCATCATCGGCCATCCCAGCCACAGGTGTGTGGTGTTTGACTGGAAATGGCCTCTGATTCTCAGTAATATTTTGGGGTTACTGCCGAGGACATCTAAAAGAGTCGCACTGTAGTCACCAGTACATGTTGCTGGTGTAAAGCCTTAACCTGAGCAGAAAACTAGGTGGAGATGTTTAGAAAGATAAATTCTGTTATTCTCCCTAATCTCTCCTAAACAGATCTGTCTGGGTCTAAAGCTCAGCCCTCGGTCACGATTTCATATAGAAGTCAGAGTGAAAAGATGTTAGGTTACAATACAACAGCGAGGCTTCTTTAGAGGAGCAGCACCGGGGGGTTACTTGTATGCGCGCATGTGCACACATGGACACCCCTCTCGAAGGGTGCTGGTCACACTGCTTTCTGGGGAGTTCTAGAGGCTTTTCCCCCCCTTGAGGGTCAGTTTAGCTATTACTCTTTCAAACACATAGTGTCATTCGGTCAGTGAATTCTTGCTCCATTTAGCACGCGCAGGTGGCATCAGGCCTGCCGTATCTGACTGTGCGTGGGAAGGGCAGTGCCGCCAGGGTTCACAGCAGAGCTCGAGGCGCCCCCGGGCACTGCCCAGGCTTTCCTTCACCCTCCCCCACTGTGAAGCGTCTCATCCACTTAATCTTTTCATGCGATGACAAGGTGATAAAAGCAGCTTCTCTGAGTGTTGCTATACACTGTGCCTTATGACCACGGAGAACCTTGCCGACGAGGTGGCAAAGGAGGTGCTGTCACAGTGAATCCTCACCCGTCAGTGATGCCCACTGCCCCTGGACAACTGTGCAAATGATGACCATATGTTTCGTTTCCTGCAATTCTGTGTAGAAGTGGCGGGGAGAAAACTTCATGTAGTTTTACCAGGCTGAAAGGGGATAACTCCACCTCCTCAGCAAAATTTACAGTGGTGACCATACTCTGCCATACTTGAAAAATAATGCCAGGGTCAGCCCTCCGACAAACAGATAGCCCATGTCTGGTCATTTAAATGGAGATATTTCACAGAGGAGTTGCTCACTTGAGCCCCGCAGACATCGATAACTCGGCTGTTTGCTAAACCCCAACTCTGGCCACTTGGGTTGAAGAGACAGCAAAGTTGCTCTAAGTGTAGATGTAACTTAGGCCTCTGGGACAGTCAGAATACAGTGGGGGTGGGTGTTCTTGGGGGCAGGGTTAACCAGGGAAGGGACCTGCCTCAGCCTCTTCTACCATAATCACCCTCAGAGGGAGAGAACCTGGTTAGCTTTATGAGTGATACATTTCAAGGGTCCTTTAAATACCTATCTAGCTCCCTGCCTGAGGGCATGTAAGAGAAGGGTCCCTCCCCAGCAAATCTGAGATAGACCTTAAGACTGTGAATGAGCCCTGGACAGTGAATGTAAAGATTTAACCCTTCAGTAAGCGTTTGAATACAGAACAGAAAACATTCAGATTGATCAGTGCTACCGAAAAAAAAAAATGGTAATGGAACAATAGGCGATAGGCTACTTTGACTGGGGGTGGCCAAGGAAGGCCCCCCTGAAAAAGTGACATTGGTCCTGAATCAGACAATTGAAAGACAGATGTCTCCATACCTTAGCATGCCACTCTCCCACAACGTGCCCTTGGAATCGCTACTAAATTCCAAAGGCCGCTCTGTTTTAAGCATACGTTTTAGAGACTGTGAAGGAATCTTTAGGATTTAACAAAAAAAACAAACTTAGCTATCGGCAGTATCCATAAACCAAGAGAAGATTCTAACTCACCCATGAAGTTCTCATTAGCTTCATTACCTTCCAGTTGAACGTACACAGGAGAAAAGTAATCACTTTTCTGGGTGTTTTCTTCTAGTTTTATAAGTTATTGGATATATAAAGATCTACTTTTTGTATTATACACATAAAGTGTCAAATTTTATTCTGCCTATGGACTGGCTTTAGTGGGGCTGAAGACTACAGAGGGCCATTTTCCCAAATAGGTTCCCCGTTTTCATGCACCCAAAACAGTGGTTCCCAAGCATTGATGATCATATCTGTTTATTAGAGGCCCACAGCGTGTGCCAGGGGCCTGCACTGTGCAGTCTGAGGGATTCTCAGAAATGTTCCTCTCTGTCTGATTCACAGTAGAATGTTCAGTTTGACTTCCACTCAAGCCAAACACTGTTACTCCAAAGGAAAATGTCTGATGTTTGCTTAAGATTTTACCTTTTCCAAAAAATCGATTTAAATATCCACATAAATCATAACATTTCTCAGGAATGAGCCTCTTTACATAACCAAAATATCTCTGAAAAGTTATGCTTAGATAACCTTTGGGGTCCAGTTTTTCCACATAACTCTACACTCACACTATATGCTAAGGAAGAAAAAATGGGACACAAAACTTTGACCTTCCAGTTACGTCCTTGGAATCCCTGACAAGTACAGAAGCTTAAATGGTAGCAAACATCCATTCACTCACTCGTCATGGGGCTGAGACAGGAGAAAGCATCCTCATTTATATGTAGTCTGCGCAGCTGTTCTCAGGCAAGGTAGAATCTCGTCTCATTCTTATATGGCCTTTGCTTTACAAAAAGGCCTATGGAATTCAGCGCTGTCTTAACCTCTTGCTATTCCAGTAGAATGGACTTTGGTCCTCCTTGCTTACAGCTGCATTTACTTTTTCTTTACCAAGGGTCTCAATGAGAGAGAACCTCTTTCCACCCCACTCATTAAGACAGGAAACAAGCCCAGAGCTTGACTGCCTAATGTCCTTCAGCCTGTCTGGCAGGGTCCTGGAAGGACCACTTTGCCTCCTGAAAACTGCCCTCACCGCAGCCCTCCCAGGTGGCTCTGGGATTAAATCAGCCCTGGCACACCGGGTGCTAAACAGGCGGGCAACAGAAGTGGGACTCCACTCGTGAGTCCCAGCATGAGGCTGTGGTGTCAGCGTTGGGCCTCTCCATTCACAAGCCCCCAGGTTTAGACAGTCACCCCTGGGAAGAAAGACTCCTCCGTGGGCGACAACGGTTACGCACACAGGTCACTGGTAGGGGACTTGAGAGGTTAAAGTTGCCAGCTGCCCCTTCTGTACCGCATTAGCTTGTTTCTGTCCATGCCTGTCTCAACGAGGAAATTTCCCCAGATCATTTTTTGGGTTTTAAAACTCATCGCTGTCACTTCAGACTCACCATTCTATCACTGTATTATCTTCACATGCCAGGAACCGTCTACTAACAATTGGCCTGATTTTGCTTGTTCATGACTGGAGTCAAAGTTTGTTTGTTTGTTTTTTTAAATACTAAGAAGGCTGTGAGGACCCAGATACTTTTCTGTTGAAAGACTTCTGAGCAGCTGCAGTTCTGTTTTTCCCAGTAGTACCATGACGGGTTCAACCTTCCAGTGTCCTGGAAAACAGAACCACCAACTGGCGAACTGCACTAGCTGCTCAGGCGGCCTGGACTCTGAAGACCGCGGTTCAGTACTGTGAGGTCCTCGGGACGTTTTGTTGACCACCGCCATGTTCGACTTTATGACGAAAAGAAAAAAAAAAAAAATGTGAGTCCGAATCACCTGTTTGTTCACCTTTTCATTTGGAAATACTTTACCCTGATCGTGTGCTATTAGGTTTTTTCTCAGAAAATATAGTTCTGCTTTTTTTCTGCGTGAAGGAAACATCAGGGTGCCACACATTTTCAGCAGTTTAAACAAGACAGATAAGGGAAAAACACCACATCTGACTTGCCTAACGTAGACTTTATTCGACTGAAGTACCTAACCTAATGTGATGTATTATTTTGTAGCATCTCAAACTTTGTAAATAAATACCATTATTTTTATATGGAAATTTTATAGAAGAGCTTATTTTCCTGGATACTTAATTTCCTGGATTTTCTGAAATTGTTTCTGACAGATAATAGACAAGTCCTAAGCAGTGTTTCTCTAAGGATGGTTCAAGGACCACCTGCAGCAGAATTGACAGGGGTAGGGGTTAAAATTTTGCATCCCTCAGTCCCACCCCAGATACTTGGAAGCTCTGGGAGTGGGGCCTGGGAAGCTGTATTTTTAATAAACTCTCAGTGATGTTTTTGTCTATTAAAGTGTATCTTTCTCCATTCTATAAGGTTAAAAGAAGGAAAAGGAAAAAAAGCATCTGAAATGAGTATCAGTTGTGCTTGAGGATAAAAAAATATTAGACTGATGTATGATTTGAATGAGATGTACTATAGAAAAAAAATAAATAATTTAAAATGTTGTTGTCTCATTATTAGCTGGTGGTTGGGGGGTTAATGCATATTGTGCAATGCCTGGTCCCCTACCTTTAGGACTGAGACACCCCCGCAGCTGAGTTCCTCCCCTAAGAACTATCCTCAAGGGGATTGCCTTGCCTGAGCTCACACCCACAGCCAGCGAGGGGGCACAAAGCCCAGTCTCCTTGCCTCAATTTGGTGTATCTGAAGGGCGCCTCACCCCAATTTCAGAGTTCCTCATGGAACTGGCCTGTTCCTCTGGCAACTGCATCATGGTTCATCCCGTCGTGCTTCCTACACTGTTTTACAGATGGTGTTTCTAGGAGCACTCCCCAATACATGGACACCGCCTGTCCCACCTATGGTGGAAATAGGTTAGATATGTAAAAGCTTTTCTACACTTATTCATAAAGACATATGCACCCCTATGTTAATTGCATCATTATTCACAATAGCCGAGACACGCAAACAACTTAAGTGTCCTTTGACTGGATAAAGATGTATGTATATGCAGTGGAACACTACTCAGCCATAAAAAATGAAATATTATTATTTGTGACAACAGGGGTAGATCTTGTGAGTATGTGCTAAGTGAAATAAGTCAGATGGCTAAGGACAAGAACCATCTGATTTCATTTGTGGAATTTATTTACTTATTTAAAAGAATATTTTAGGCAAGGCAACCCTTGGTTGACCTCACAGATTGCAAGGACCTTGTCAGCTTATGGTCCCTTAACTTTTTTTATTTTTTACACCTACAGCACCTGGTCTTTGTAGGTGGTCTCCCATCCAAGTACTAACCAGGCCCGACCCTGCTTAGCTTCCGAGGTGAGATGGGATCGGGCTTGTTCAGGGTAGCATGGCCGTAGACTCGCTCATGGAATATAAAACAGCAACAAACAAACAAAAAAATCCCGTTCATAGATAGCAGACAACAGAATGGTGGTTACCAGAATGGAAGGGGGTTAGGAAGAGGACGAAGAGGGTAAGGTAGTCAAATACAAGGTGACAGAAACTAGACTTATGGTGGCGCACGCACAACAAATAGAATATACGGATATAAAGTCCACCTGAAATTTAATGTTATTAATCCTTTTACTCCCAATTAATTTAAAAGTGGGGAAAAAGGCTTTCTGTGTTAGAAACCTATGACTTTACATCTTTTTAAGGTCATCTTATAAGGTAATATAAGGAATGTCTTTATAGTCCCAGAAACAGACCTGAATACAATTTTTAAAGAAGATGCTTATCTACCCTTTACACCAAACCAGCATCAAAGAGAACAACTACGGTGATGAGTACAGAATGCCATGCTTCCAGGCCTCAAGCAGAATTTCTTCTGGCCTCAGGGGCTACAGCGGTGCCTCAACATCTCAAGCAATCCCTACCTGCCCCAGAGAGAGGCAGAAGCCTGTGATAACACTATCTCCTACGTTCCAACAAACTGAGCAGGGTGCATGGTGGGTACGTGGGTAGTCAGAAGATGCAGAAGAGTTTGGAGCAACTTAAGAATCACAGAATAGGGTCAGATCGTGAAGAGCAACACTAGGAAATGGTTAAGAAAGCACTCACTTGAACGTAAACAGCCAGTAAAGAAGGCATCTTCCCATGAAGACTTTCACTTGAGTTCAGTAGACTGCGTAAGTGATGGCAGTGGTGTGGAATGTCCAGTGTGGAAGTAGGGAGTCAGGGCCCACACCCTTATCCTAGAGATTTCCTAGAGTGATGAGTCCATGATGGTATTGTGCCCTCTCTGCCCGTTCTATCCCATAGTGCCATTTTTTAGTGCCATTTGGTTAATGTGTCCAAGGATCCATGGAAATAACACTCACTGGGTCATTTGGTTCTAAGGAAGTGCTTTTGCTTTTGTGACCATGTGGTCTTGAGATGTGAAGGACCACTGGGAGTGTCATCAGTAGCCATCGGACACACCTGACCAGGGAAGAGCCCAAGCAGTTGTTCACTTTAATAACCAGCATCTTGAGCTAGGCTCGGCTGAGGTGACAAAGCATCAGAGAAAAGACAGCCTCAACCAAGAGAGTCTTCTCTGGGAGACGGAACCCCACTGACAATCAACTTTCAGTTCCTTTTCCCAGAAGCTAGCTATTTTCTCACCATTCCTTCTGATGGACGAACTACTTCTGTGGTTCCAGAGTTCTTCCATTTCTGTGTCTTCACTGGAGCACGGGCTCCTCTTACCTTACTGCTGCTTACACCATCGACACCTCCAGCCTTCTCAGTGTTCTTGCCTGCGGGGCAGGCTCCCTCTGTTGTTCTTACTGTGGACCGTTGCCAAGTGCCTGGGAGCCCCTGATCACTGCCAGCTCGACCTTCTTCCTGGGAGGGCTTTCCAGCTTCTTGCTGAAACTTGCTTTTAAGAAATCTTCTCAGAGTATAAAATGCACTTTGGCAAGGATCCGCCTGTATCTGGGTGGGTGAAACCAATCCCATTTAATGCAAGCTAGAATTTGCCAGAACCACTTTCTCACTTTCATGCAAATCACTCTCTGACATTTTTGCCTCTGGGGCACAGTAACTATCACCCAACCACTTCCTTCTTGCTTCTTAACTCCTACCTTGCTCAAGGGGCCTGAAGTACATTGACGTCTACCAAGCTCAGATTTGTTTTCTTCCTTCATGCCCTAGTACTTGGCCATGGCCCCCCGAAAGCCAGAACTCAATTAGAATTCATGAGAAGAATGTGAGCTAAAGCCTGAAAATGATGATTCTGAAAGATACCATCTCTGCAGGAATTATTTTCAGGTTCTGCTACTAATAGGCTTTTTTTTTTTTTTTTTAAGCTTCCAATGAACAGGGGTTTGTTTTGGACCTTGAATCTGAATACAATGAAAAAGGCTTTTGCGGGATGTGTTTTTAAAGCAGCTAGGTATTGTCAGTAGAGACAAGGCCTTTTTTGCCTGGTGGTGGACTATTCTGTATAAAGGGCTCCAGCGCATCCAGCGAGCATCTATGAAATGGACTGTTTCCTCAAGTTTTATCAAAATTCAGTAAACACTTAACGAAGGGAACAAAAATGACAGATTTTTTTTTTTTTCAGTAAATACTTTTGGAAATTACTTCTAAGACAAAAAAACCAACATTAGCCCTGGGGACCTCCTTGGAAGTCGGATAAAGGCACGTAAAAAGACGCTGACCATCAAACTGCAGTGCATCCACCAGGGAGGTTAGCATCCCTCCCTTTCTCCTTTCCCCCTGAGACAGGCAAGCCAGGGCAGATCAAGAGGGGACCTGCTACTTCCCCACAGCATTGACTCAGAACCTGGCACGCGGGCAGCTTCAGCAATCCCAGGGCGCTGGCTTCGGTCCTCACCTAGATTCCTAGAGATAGACCGTTAGAGAAGTCTGTCGTCAGAAACAGTGCCCGTAATGGACACCACCACCTCTAGGGCTTCCAGAGAGTTTCTCAAAAAACATTTCCCAAACTGGTAGATTAAGAATCACTATCACAGAAGCAGCTCTTATCTCCCTATTGGGCCTACGCCAGGAAGCTCGTTTATACATTGATTATGCAGATGAAAGACTGGCCTGGCCAAAGAAATCGGCCTGCTGAGGAAACAGAGGTTCTTTCTCCCTATCTTGTCCTCTGCCTGAGTCTCTCCGGAAAGGTTTCTCAGAGCCTGGAGGGCAAAAGCATGAGCAAATCCAGGGGTGGGGTTGGGGTTGGGGTTGGGGTTGGGGTTCAGGTTTGGTCTGGGAGGTAGGTGCCTGCTGGGGCAAGCTGGGCCCACTCCCAGTGAGCCTGACAAAGGAGAGACTGAAAAACAGATGGGAGAAAAAGCTGGAGAGAAATACTGCGGGCAGAGAAAGCACAGAAATGAAAGATGGCAGCATCCGTATAGCATCAGCCATGGGAGCTGTGGAGGCCCTGGAGGGCGATGGGCCATAAGCGAGTGGAGGCTGTGTGTTCCCTTCGGGTGCTGCGGGCGGGGTCGGAAACTCTAGCATTTGGTAAATAAAAGCACGGGTCTCCTTTGTCGTGGTGGTGTGTTTTATTTAGGTTTTTGTTTAGGAGACTCGACAAATACCAATTGCTGCACTAGGAGTCTCTGATTCAGTTAAGGTCCTGCTGGCTATAAATTAATGATTTCTCCTCATTTGATGATCTCGGATGAGCTGCCATTTTTTAATTTTCGTTTATATATTTATATATACACGCACACATTATTCCAAATCACATAAAATAATTCCTATGCGTAATCCTCTACTAAAATCCCAATTTTTCTGTAGGATTTTGTCACGTTCGACAAGCAGTATTACAACATACTCCGCAGTTGACTGCCTGTTGATGTTCTTGACAAATTTTTAAGTGAAGAGAGATGTCGCCCTCAGTGGGGGGAAGGAGGGAGGGAGTGTCCTTTGCACACATTTACCTGTCTTCCTCTCTCCTATGAGATACTACGTGTGTGCGCACATGTGTGCACACATGCAGACGTTGTGGGTGTTTGGGATATTTGAAGGGCCTCTATGGCTGGAACGCTTGCGTGGAAGAGGAGGGAGGAAAAGTTAACTGCGGCTCAGAGGCTCAGGCATCACAAACCCACGCCCACCTCACTCAGGAATTCTCAAGCTTCACTGTCAGTGTGAGGGAAACCAGTGAAAATCTTTGCTTATTGGAAATTAGAAATTCTTTGAAAATAACATACAATCGGGAACTTGCTTGTTATATATCGACTTTCTTTTATCTTTGTAAATTCAGGGCCGTACAATGGCTAAAATATGATGCTAAATTCTCAGTCTTCATGGAATGAGTAAATGAATGAATCAATAAGTGGTCTACATGCTTTTTCAAAGTATGTTGACCTTTTGGTTAGTTTTGAATAACTAAATAGTGCTCTCACCTTCAGCATGGATTATCTGGCCAAAGCCTGAATTAAGGTGTGAAAAACTGGCTTTTACTACCCTAGTAGTTTTGTTTCTGCTGGATTGAGTCAAGAGAGGAATGAGATAAAGAGTGAAAAGTTGCAAAGGTGTGGCATTTGCCTG